TCCGGCCCTAATCGAGGTAATTTGTTAACCTAACACTACGATTCAATCGAATACCTTCGATAGTGATCATAAGTATAGATAAACCCATCACATATTGTCGCGATTAAGTACCAGCTATAGGTTAAAAAACAACCCGTTTGGCTAACGTAGTAAAGTAGGCCAAAACCGCCTTTCTAAGGAGAGGCCTATGTCCAGCAGTGGACTATTAGAGGGTGTTGATGATATTAATAATGATGTAGGCTTAAAATGCAAACAAATTTTAAAAACAATTGGTGTATGTTCTTTTGTAAGAAGTTTACAATAATTAAAAAACGTTATATGTAAATATTTTAATTTACCATATTACTTTAAATGTCGAAGAAATTCGTCAATTTTCACTACGTTTTGTAATATTTTTATTAATTTATAGATAATTTTAAAACCCAAGTTACTAGAATTTATTAGAACGCTTTTTTTTCTAATAAAATTCTAATATCCGAATAAGAATTCTATAATTGTCTACCTCAAATGCCTCGACGTGTTCTGCCTCATTAACGAGCGGCCCCAATTAGCAAATCTACTTAAACAAACCTAGAACATACTGACAATGTTCATTAGCTATGATAACATGCCCTTTAATTTTACTACTGCTTGGATTTGAGACCCCATTTAACAATTAATTAATCGCTAGAATATAGTTCAAATGTAACGCAAATTTATATCAGAAGTACAATTTAAAATTGTCTTTAAAGGACCACTCAGAGTTTTGATACCATCGACTTTTGTTTAGACGCTGTTAAGAAGAAAGATTAGAAAGTTCTGATTTGGTTATTTATTCAGTAGTATCTATTCTACATAATATTTACTTATGTGATCCAAAGTGTATTCATAATTCTATACCTGTATTTTAAATGTGAAAGTGAATTTGTTTGTTAGCTTTCACGCCTAAACCTTTAAACCTATATGAAAAATTTTTGACCAATAAAAAGCTACATTACCAGCGAGTGACATAGATATACACGCAGGCGGAGATCATATTTGTTCTTTTTTTATGGTGTAAGAGTCACCTCACCTGATGATAAGTACCGCCTCCCAAAGACACCTGCAACTCAAAAGTCACAAGTGCGTTGTTGCCCTTGGAGTCCCTCTCGCTCAAGTCAGCGGGAGGGGGGATTTGTGCTTCGGTAACCTCACTGACTCAGTGAAAGGCAACGAAAGAACTCTTTCGTTGCCTTTCACTGAAAACTGCCTCACAGAAAACTGGTGTTAAGCAACTGCTTAACACCAGTTTTCTGTGAGGCCGTGGTACCACTCCGGTCGAGCCGGCCCATTCGTGCCGAAGCAGTTTTTCATAACTCTGGTAAAACACTTTTTCAATATGATCTATTCATAAGATTCTTGCTTACATAATAATTTCTAATCAAATTTATCATTGGATCAAATAACATTAACAGTTGGTTAACGAAATAAGTGACACAATAAGAAACATACAATATAACTTCCTCTGGGGACAAACATTCAACATAAAACAGCTATTTGTAACTTCATAAACCATCTCACAAGAACATAAGAAGTTAAATTGTACACTTCATTTATTCCCACAGTGAAAACAAAGGCGGCCAACACGTCATTCTTCATCCACATCATCAAACTCGCTACAACAATTTAAACTTCTGCACAATCAACTGGCGAATGTCATAGTTTAAGTTTTTCTAATAAATTGGTAGTACTTTATCTTGAGCGTTGTTACAAGGAAGCGTTCCGGGCAAGTTCCGCGAACTAAGTAAAGTCTAAAGCAGGTGAAACCGGAGTTATGCTTATCCATCTATTTCGTAGCAAGTTCGGAAATTTATGTTAGTTAACGCAGTTAATGCTTCTTATCGGAATGTGGTGAGTGGAATTGTTATTAGGGCCTATTAGCGTATCTGTGGCACGGTTTTATACAGATGTTTCGTTATCTTTAAACTTAGAAATGAAGGTTATTGAAAAATACCTGTACAGATTAGCTCTAGCAGTTTATTTTGAATTTAAGAAAAAAAAAGTAGTCTATTTTGAGTTATTTCTATAAGCTGAGTACAGAGAAGAAAATTTGTCTTAACAAAGAATAAAGTGTCTATAATTTTTATTAATTTATAAGTTTTGGAATTATTATCAGTGCGAGTTGTATGCGATTCTAGTCCGCTTTTTTTTTAAATATTATATTTCGAACATCTGTTATAGAACGCCATCTAGAGTCAAAGTAAGCAAAGCTCACCTCAGCACAGTCGTATACGGTACCACTGCACCACTGAGGCGCAACTGCATTACAAATTGATAATATTTTCAAATCTATCCATATCATTAATGTCACTTTCTTACTCTTCTACTTCTTTCTTCTTACTTTCTTACTTCTCTTCTCTCTCTCTTCTTCTTTTCTCTCTTCTTCTTCTTTTCTTACTTCTTCTTACTTTTCTACTTCTTTCTCTTCTTATCTCCCTTATCCTTTTAACATTGTCCCAATCATCAACAGCCTTTAATAGTCCACTGCTGGACATAGGCCTCTCCTTAGCCAGGAGGTTTGGCCTACTATACCACGCTGGCCAGACGGGTTGGTATAGGGTTTGTGTCAAGTTTCCCTTCTCTCTGCAGTGCTGGTGTTCTGCGTAGTTTTTTTTCCTTAGTCGACTCTTACTCTCTTATTGTCCCAATTTTTGCAATCAATTCCCACAATAACTGGTTTACGACAATAGTCAATTATAGTTTACAAAATACCTACAGATTTAATACACCTCTTTCTACGGGATTCAAGTTGTGTGTAAAAATAATAAAATTAAATTTTCTCAAAGACCATTTGATAAAGATAAAAAAGATAAACACCCGAAACTTTATTTTGATTTAACTTTTAAAGAAGATGATTTAAAATATTTATTTTAAAAGTAAACACCACGATCCGACTATTTGTCGTCTCTCATCAACCGTTTCTCTATTTTCCTTTGGACAAGACAACATGAACATTCAACCTAAGTTTCCATAATCTTGCAGAAAAAACTTTCATTGTGGCTATGGTAAAACATATGCTAAGGTAAAGAAAACATAATGAGTTCTTTTTGAACAGAGAGTGAAACGTATCGCAAGTTTTGTTTTTTTCTGTAAATAAAATTTTAATTAAAATGAACTATGTACATTACACACGTGAATTTAGTGTGTAGTGAGTTCCATTTTATTTGCAGCGATCTATAATTCACGAAGTATATTCTCCCTCGGCGAGAAAGCCCTCAATCCCAGAATAATTTTGAACCTAAAAATGTTTAATATTTTGCCACTTGAAGTCAACTTCAATCCAGACTAAACTTAAAATGCCATTAAATATACCTCTCTGAATGAGTAAGGCGATAGTAACTAAAAAAAAAAAAATAATAATGATAATATAATAATAATAATAATATGATTTTAAAATAATAATGAATAAATCATCGTGAACTTCAGGATCAAGACAAGCCTGAAGTTGAATCATGAAATCGAAAATATAAAAATCTCGTTTCACGGTGTTTGTTACCGCACTCCTCCGAAACGGCTCTACCGATTTTTTTTGTTGTAAATTAAGTAGGCAGGAGAATTGGTCGTAAAGTATTTTTTAATCTGCAACCCACACTCCCTATTTGTTTAACTTACGTACGTCCTCTTGGATAATTGGGCAGAATAACGTTTTCCGGGTCAGCTAGGTAAAATATAAAATAGTAAAAATAATAACCTTGACACACGTCAAACACGGTCATCTTAACCCAAATAAATCAGAACCTATGCTAACCAGATTGCAGGTACAAATACAAAAACAAATATCGAGCGCCTCCCTCATTGTCCTGGGTGGGAATCGAACTCACGACTTTCTAACTTAGCAGCCTGGATAACTAACTACCAGACTGAGAAGCCAGAGAAACGTATTTTAGTTAATATTAATTTATTAAATAAATATCTAAATGTCAAAATTTAAGCACTCAATTACACTACAACACAATCGCACAATATTTGTCCTAGGCGGGAATCAAACCCATGATCCCAGGCTTAGCAGTCAGGGTCACTAATCACTGAACCAACAGACCCGTCAAATGAAAATCGTCAAATGATATGAAAATTATAAAGATTAAATTGGAAATGTCTAGTGTCTATTCACTTCCACGCAGTCGGGTTTTTGTTTTTTCATTTCGCTTCTTTTTAATAAGAATCATTTTTCCAAATCAAACCATTAAACATTTTACTAAAAGATACTACGAGTATAACATTGATATACTTACTTTTAAAACTGAATAATAAACCTTTTTTAACTGGTTTGAGATTATTAACTGCTGGTGGTATCACAAAAAACATCAATATAAAGAAACTGAGGTACAATGTAGTACTGAGTACTAAGTTTCAGTGATTGTCTAATAAAAATATCGCAATTGAGGTTCAAAAATATACTTAAACTCAGAAAAACAAACAATATGAAAACATGCGATCTTACCATTACTTAATGATATGTTATCGGATATCCACAAGTACACATAATTTAGGCAAACATACGCCTCTACTTCTCTTTTCCATTATGTTAATAGATGTCAGTCATACTTCACAGACCCTTCTTCATCTTCCTTCCCTTGGTGCTCCTACGATAGCTCAACTCACAACCTAATAAAACATCTTGTAAGGCGGTCATGATCTTGTCAGCAATAGAGGTTTCTCTCAAATACTCGTACGATGTATGATTATTTATCAACTTAGCGCTAATTTAATAGGGCGCGCGCACTCCCGAGTAGGGGTTCCCACACAGTATGGGCTCAGCTACAGGTCGTAGATGACCCGAGGTACGTCGGGGTACCAAAGATTTCCTTTCTAGGATACACCCGGTTCCCCGGCAACTGGTGCCCGAGACGGCGTGGGGGTTTTGGTTGGTTCGAGTCCGACATAACTCGACATAACGGAAATCCGCAGAGAAAAATATAAGTGCCAATTCAATTCTCAGTTATGTCGGAGTAAAAGCAATGTAGTATATTTATGATTATTGATCACTTTAAACTGTCTGCAAATTCGTACAAAGATAACATTGAATTAAATTCACAAGGCGAACATAGCGGAGTGTCATACTTTTCAGTTTCGCATAATTTTGAAAAATCAACGCTATATTTATTTTTTAGACGATCTCTCTTTACCATCGGCAAAAATCGATGGCCCCACAAAATATCATTCTCAGTGTAACTTGTTCTTGCCTGGACAGGCTGTCCCGTCGATTCTATAATACCTTCAAACACAGCTAAAATTTCAAATTTTCCAAGCAGCAAATCTGCAGCAGAAATATTGTATAAGGGACTCTTGCTATCAATTATATGAATAATCGAAACTGGCCATAGGAAAAATGTTGACTCGCATCCATCCATTTCGACTTCTAAGTCCATCTGTTCATAGCTATCAGTATCATTAGAACCAGATTTTAAAACATAAACCGAAGTTTTAATATTAAGAATCCTGGACTTTCTCATGTCACCTACTCTGAATATTAAGCAAAACTTTCCATCTCTCAAGGTTATGACTGCTTGTCTACTGAATAGAATAGTTTGAGTCCTCGATTTTGGCCTTGTTAATTTTGCAAACAATATACCTATCATAAAAGCTTGAAATATTTGACAGATAATGCACTGAAAACACATAGTAGTTATTAGTCCTGGACATTCCAATGTTATCGAGCGCTTGCCATAAGCGACGGTGGTGTGAACTTCTACACTAAATAGAAAGCAGGATGTGAATCCATATACATTGTTGACGCACGGAAGCCAATCTGTAGCGTTCTGATTAGGTGGAAGATGTTCTTCGCTTAGGTCGCCATGAGCCCAAGACAGAATCCAATAAATGATCCCAAACGCTAACCAGTTACAGGTAAAAGCTACGAAGAAATGCAGAAGAGCCCATCTCCATCTGGTTTCAACCATCCTGATGAACCATCTAGAGAAGACGCTTGGTCGACTAGAATTATTGTTACAAATATTGAACTCTCCATTTTTGAAGACGAACCTTTTGTTTTGAGGTCGATTACTTTTTTTGGGAGTAAGTCCTGTGGAAGAAAATTTACAGTATTTGAATATTGTTAGACATAAAATTTGTTTTAAACTCGCCCTCGTGATTATAATCTCCTAAAACCGTGATAAGAAAACGGCTTTAGAGTGGCTTGGACCTTCCGATTAATGACTTCCCTCCTATTATGTAACTGAGACTAAAATAATAATTATGAAATAATGGAAAGATTTCGGGGTTTTAATCCGCCTCTCCTTCCCCTTTCGGTCATATAGGCATGAATGTGCTTTTTTAGAGAGCTCATTACAATTTTTTTATGGAATAGGGGGCAAACGAGCACACGGGTCACCTGATGGAAAGCGACTACCGCCGCCCATCAACGCCTGCAACTCAGGAGTCACAAGCGCGTTGCTAGCCTTTGAGGATGGAGTACGCTCTTTTCTAGAAGGTTTGAAGGTCGTTTCGGTCCGGAAATACCGCAGCTGACAACTTGTTCCACAGATTGGTAGTGCGAGGCAAACAGTATATTATATTGTTTAGGTATCTTAATTTAATGTTACAAAGGCAGATTATTCAACATTAAAGACGCTTAAATGATAAGGTTTCGCTCGTGTTTTCTCAAATATTTGTACCCATGTATTCTTTTATTTAAATTGTTTAAGTAAATACGATTTTTTATAATTCTCTTATTTACGGGCTTATTTCGAAGGGCATTTAAAATATTTTGGCCGACTTAGGTACTTTATGTGGACAATATTTCCGAAGTTAAAGAAAATTGGTTGTATATCTACTGATTGTTGAATTTAAGTTATAAGTTTTACGAAGAGAAAAAATACTAGATTGGCACCTATCTAAGATTGAAATACCGGTAATATGGTCTGAGAGAAAATCGGTGTTAATAATTTAAATCATCTTTTGAACGAGTGAGTGAGGTTACCGAAGCCCAACCATTCCCATTTCCTATTCTACGGGAGGGGCAACTTTATTGTTTTACGCGGCGCTTCTTTTAAGATTTCTTTTTAAAACCTTGTACAACCGTAGTTATATTCCAGAAATTTTTATACTTTTCTCATTCATCATTCTATACATTTTATATATGAAGAGTTATTAACGCGATCGGGTGATAGATATTGCAGACCTGCCTGACGTTTCGACCATGTTGCCCAAGCAATGATGAAAACATTATGTATTTATACTGACTTTGGTTCGTAGATTGTTACGATGGTCCAAGCCAAGATAAATTGCGAAAGCTTTAAAAGTTACACGATTTACTAAAACTTCGTAAAATTTTAGAGTTCATTGCGTTTAGACAGACAGACAGAAACAGAGAGAGTATTTTTTTCTATGATATGTTGTGATGACGGAATATTAATGTTTAGTAGTCAAGTCTATAATACCATTGCTTTTCTTAAGCTTCTTGTAAAGACTATAGTATTACGTAGCCTTCTGCCTATTATGTAAAATCTATACTAATATTATAAAGCTGAAGAGTTTGTTTGTTTGTTTGAACGCGCTAATCTCAGGAACTACTTCTCCGATTTGAAAAATTCTTTCAGTGTTAGATAGCCCATTTATCGAGGAAGGCTATAGGCTATATATCATCACGCTAAGAGCAATAGGAGCGGAGCACCAATGAAGAATGTTTCAAAAACGGAGAAAATTTATTACTATTGAGAGACGCAGACGAAGTTGCGCGGGTCAGCTAGTTTTATCATAAAATTATGAATATACTCACTGTTTTTGGGATAATATACACCAGGTTCGAGAGGCACCAGTTCATCAAATGAGTTTCCAACACTTAAATCACAGGAATCTGAACCATAATAATCTTCTTTCAGGTCCATTTTGAACTGAAAGATGCGTATTTAATAGTTATTAATATATAATTACCTCTTGCTTAGTTAAAAAAAAATGTGTAAAGCACTATATTTTGAGATACACGCTCTAATATAAAAACATTTTATTTTTTTAATAATTTCACACAATTCACGGCCGTCTGATCCCAAACTAGGCAGAGCCTGTACTATGGTAACCAGACTGCTGATAAAAATATTTATATATTTCTAAATACATACATAATTTAGATAAATTACACCCAGACACAGAACAAATTATCGTACTCATCACACAATTATTTGTCGGGAGGGAATCGCAACCACGACCTTCGGTTTAGCAGTCAGGGTCACTAACCACTAGACCGACAGACCCGTCACACAATAAAACATAATGTTGTTTAACAGTTATTGTCTCATCCACCGTTTCTCTATTTTCCTTTGGACGTGACAACATAAACTTTCAAGATAAGTCTTGCAGAAAAAACTTTGATCGTGTCTATGGTAAAAAATATGCTAAAGTAAAAAAACATAATTGAGTTATTTTTGTACAGAGAGTAAAACGTATCGCAAGTTCTTTTATTTTCTGTTAATAAAATTATAATAAAAATGAACTATGTACAATACAAACATGAATTAAGAGTGAGATCCATTTTGTTTGCAGCGATCTATAATTGACGAAGTATATGTATGTAGTTTTTTGTGGTTTATCATCATCATCATCGACAGCTTTTAATAGTCCACTGCTGGACATAGGCCTCTCCTTAAAAACGAGGTTTTAGCCTACTATACCACGCCGGCCAGACGGGTTGGTGCAGGGTTTGTGCCAAGTTTTCCTTCCCTTTGCAGTGCTGTTGACCTACATAGTTTGCTCCCTTAGTCGGTTCGGACGGGATGAATAGGGGTGGTGAGACTCCGTATTCTTAATCCGTCACCATGCGGATATTACACATGGTTCCATTTTTTTTGTTGGAAGTTTAAAAAAAATAAGAAATAATAACAGATAAATAATTAAACTAAATACCCTACTACAAGTTATTTTCTTATTTACTTACATCTATAATAAAAACAAATTGAAATGAATACCTTAATAGAAATACTTGTTTTTCTATAAAATACAGCATTAATTTATATACGAACACGTTGGCGTGGTGTGATAACACTATGTATATCATCCTTGCAATTACAGAAGGCACTGATATGACAACCTTGGGACTTAGCCTTTGCAGTTGTTTATATAACTATATTGTTCAGATACCTAAGATAAGATTAGAAAATACCCGCAAGTAAATAGAACGTTATACGGTACGAGTGTTTGTATCTTACATAATACTAGTATTAAAGGGGTTACTACCTAATACCGGTATTACATGGGTAACAAAGTATTTGGCTACTGATTGCTGACGTAAGCTGTACGTCATTATGGCATAGTTTATGTGGTTAACAAAAATATTTATATAGATTAAGAATATTTATTTTATTTTTATCTTTTTTTTATGTTAGAGGGGGCAGACGAGCAGACGGGTGAACTCGCAACTCAGGAGTCACAAACGCGTTGCCGGCCTTTTAAGAAGGTTTACGTTATTTTCTATCTGTCTACCTAAGCAGCCTGTTGCGCCGACTGCTGGGTAAACGTCTCTTCTCTAGATTTTTTTCGTTGGATCCCAGTTTATGGATTGTTTTTTTTGGATTAATATTTTTGGCGACCTTTAGATCCCAAATCTAAAAAAATACGTTTTTTGTCGACTCCCAAAAACTATTTTCGTTGGATCCTAAACGCTTAAAAAATCTCAATGCCGGTTCTTTTAGCAACAAAATTGTTGTTAGTAAAATGAGGGTGTATTTTTGAGTCATTTAGGATCAAAGGATACAAGCTAACATTTAATCAATTTGTACTAAAATATTAAAAAAACCACAAGGAATGATATTTTATTCATTATTTTGAAATAATTATAATTTACAACAAAATGGAATTATAATTAAAAAAATATTGCTATCCTGTGTGTTGGTCTAGAAAATAAGAAGATTTCAAACAATTTTATGAAATAAAGATATTTTGAGTTTGAGTTTGATATTGATACGTAAAATATGTAAATACTGGTTCATCACTGTCTTATCATAAACTGAGGCAGTATTTTCATAATGTTATTTATTTATTCACACGAATAGAATACTTGGAAGGGATTGTAAGGTTGGTCGTTACTTGAAATGTTTCAAGTTCTAATTCTAGAAGAATAACATTCTACTGAGGTAGGCAGTAGTTGCCTATAGATGTTTTAATTTTAATAAGAAAACGCTATTCAATTCCTTTTAGAGATGAATTTAAAAGGACTTTCTTTTCCTATTGATAGTACGTTCGATTTCCAGTTTCACATGGAAATTATGACACTGATAAAGCGATTATAATTTTGTGTTGCTACATAAAAGGGCCTCTCGCATTGCACGCCACTTAGATCCAGCTCCTGCCAGCCAGCCAGATCAGTGCAATGGGAGAGGCTTATATTCAGCAGTGGACTGCGATAGGCTGATGATAATGATGACTTAAAAAAGTACAACCGCTAAGCCTCTTTCCAGCTTTTACAAACGGTGCCTAATACGTGCCACGACTTGCGTTCGTCACGTTTCATGTGAGTCATCCTTTAATAATATGCTACCATAATAAAATTCTACCACATTCACATAACGTCATCTAGTCCCAAACTAAGCTGGGCTTGTACTATGGCTACTAGATAACTGATATAAATACAAATATACTTTTTTTTTGTAAATACATACATATTATACATAGAAACATCCAGCTCAAATTAAATATTAAATGTTCATAAAACACAAATGTTTGACTTGAGCGCGATCGAACCCGCGACCTTTGGAATAGCAGTCCGTTACACAAACCACTATGCCATCCGGTCGTCCTTTGGTAGAAGACGTGGTAGTGTTAACATCATATTTAATACAATTAATTATTTAAATAAATCCTTTGCAAAACAAGGACCACACACAAAAAAAAAATTTTTGCTATTTTATCAGACTGGAAAATTTTTATGTACGATAAAACAATGTTGATAGAACACACGGGTAGCGTCAAATTGGTTGAGCAGCATTTTTATCACTGATAGGCAACGGCAAACATCATGTTCGGTAAAGCAAACACTTTCTATTTGTTTTATTTTACTTTTGTTTATTTTTAATAAAAAAACCGCAAACGTTTTTGATAATTGTGAATTCTGGTAATTACTGGTCAGTTTATGTTGGAATCAAACTTGATCTGAAACTAGCTTTAGCTCCCGGATGCACTCGCATTAATTTTATTTAACAATTCCTAGGATTTCCTACTTTTTTACATAATATCCGCGGTATAGAATGTCACCACCCCTATTCATCCCGTGGGTGTCGTAAGAGCCGACGAAGGGAAAAAATTACGCAGAACAATAACACTGAGAGAAGGAAAACTTGACACAAACCCTATACCAAAACGTCTGGCCAGCGTGGTATAGTAGGCCAAAATCTCCTTACTAAGGAGAGGCTTATGTCCAGCAGTGGACTATTAAGGGCTGTTGATGTGATGATGCCAATTGTAATATTAAAAAATAAAAAAAAATTATAAGTGTGGGGTTTGTGTTTTAACAAATAAAACTGGTGGTGGCATCACAAATACAAACAAACCTATACACTCCAAACAAGTTAAATATAAATGTGACACAGTCACAAAAAATACAGCTACATTAAATACACTACATGCTTGCACAAAAAAAGAAATCAGTAAAATAATCGATAACTTAGATATAAATACAAGTAGTGGTATTGATGGGATTACGGTTAAAGATTTAAAATGCATTAAAAACTTAATAATAGATAATTTAACTGAATGTATAAATAAGTGCCTTGAACTGGGAATATTCCCTGGTAGTCTTAAGATTGCCAAAGTGACTCCTGTTTACAAGTCTGGAAGCAAATCTGATCCAGGTAATTATCGACCAATTTCCGTGCTCCCGGTCATCTCCAAAGTCTTTGAAAGAATAATTTACATCCGTCTTTACAACTACCTTACAGACACAATTTTTTTTTTTGTGAACCAGTATGGATTTAGGCCAAAATCAAGTACTTTATCCGCTACTATGGATCTAACAACAAAAATTAAAAATGCTATAGATAAAAAACAATATGTCCTAGGTGTCTTTATAGACCTAAAAAAAGCATTTGATACAATTAGCCACAATATGCTTTTAAACAAGTTGAGAGATGCAGGAATATCAGGAACAGCACATAAAATTCTTAGGTCGTACTTAGAAAGCCGGAAACAAGTAGTCAAAATTGAAAACCATGTAAGTTTGCCTGCTAAACTAACATACGGAATTCCTCAAGGATCGATTCTTGGCCCCCTGTTGTTTTTAATTTATATTAATAATATAAACAATGTTAAAACATCAGGCACCATTACATTTTACGCAGATGACACCTGTCTCTTTTATTTTGGACCCAACCTGATAGATATCGTGAAAGAGGCACAAAATGATTTAAATATTTTAAACAACTGGTTTCTATCTAACTTATTAACTATTAATACGAAAAAAAACATCATACATGATCATTGCTGCAAAAAATAAGAAGATTGACCATCAAATCCAACTAACAATAAATAAAGAAAATATTACAAAATCAAGTGGTGAAAGATATTTAGGCCTCTTTTTGGACACAAAATTAACATGGAAACACCATATTGCATATATTAAATCCAAAATATCTCCTGTTATTGGTGCACTACGTCGAATGTCCTTTTGCATCCCTAGTAAGGCTCGAGTAATGATCTATAACGCTCTAGTTAGACCTCATATAGAATACCTGATTGAGATATGGGGCACTGCTTCGAAATCGAATATCCAAGAAATTCAAGTCTTGCAAAATAAAGCAATAAAAACACTTTATAACTACGACTACCTAACACCAACACTTAACATCTACAAGGATACCAAAATCCTAACAATTAGACAACTATACATTCTTAAAACTTGTATACTAATACATAAAATCATAACACAAGGTACACATTCACAATTAAGCTTCAAAGAAAAAACCTATACATACAACGCTAGGAAACGAAAAAAACTAGAAGTGACAAAGCCTAGAACCAACTATGGTAAGAAAAATATATTATATGAAGGTATAAAACTTTATAATGAAATACCTGATGATATTACTAAAAGTGATAGCTTGTATAAATTAAAAAAAAATATTGGAGATTACATTAGGGTAAAGTACTGACTCTAATGAAGTTGTCTGTATATCTTTAGTTTTATACTACTGTAATATGTGTTTTATACTACTGTGTATTGAGATCACAGAGATACTTAACTAATTTATTGTGTTGTTACATTTTCTCATTATGTAAGTGAACTGTATTGTTCTTTTTATGAGAAATAAATGTCTCTAAACCGAATAAATAAATAAATAGAATGAAAAAAGTAGAATTAAGTTTTAATATTCGTATATTCAAGAATAATAGTTTTTCTGGATAAAATATACATTTTTCTGTAGCCGTAACTAATAGTTCATAATGATCGGTTCAGGATAACAACCGTACCGTTTATTTTATTTTTTTATTTTTCGTGTATTAGTGACGTTTATAATTATATTATTGACTAGCTGGTATACGCGACTTCGTTTGCGTGGAATTTGAAAAGCGCTTCTTTAGTGGTTTCGATTCCTTGACCGGGCAAAGTTTTATAGGGATTTTCTAAGAGGCAAAATAACATAAGTTATTCCTTTTGTAGACAGCTACCTGGTAGTAAAATATTATCGAAATTGGTCCAGTCGTTTAGAAGATTACCTGAACAAACAGACAGACAAAAAAAATAAACAGGTTTTTAGGCATAGGTATTGTGCAAATAACCATGTGAGAATGAAAAAAACCTATAAATTTGACATTACAAACAGATTAAATTTCGTTTATTTGTATAGATGATTTTAAGTTATCATTTATTTTTCGTTTGTGACTTTATTTTTTAATGATTTTACAATTTTTTATGCAATTTTCAATGATGACTAGAAAATTTTTGCATGTCGGTATGACTAAACTATAGCACTTAGATATGTCTTCTATAACAACTTATGTACAACGTTTAACGGCAAATAAACTATTCTATTCTATTCTACCAACAGGCTGAGTTATTCTCTCACTTGTAATAGGAGAGTAAGCAGGCTACTCACTTTCCGTTTGTCAATCTCAGGTATAGGAACAGCAACTGTTAAATGGAATTACCAAAGATACAAAAGGTAACCGCTCTATCGACAAATATCTCCTTCTCAGGTGTAGAAAGTTACTTGGAGTGGGAATTCTCTCGCTTAGTACCATGATTGCGGCCATGGTGCTGAGCGAGAGCACGTGGAACTCCGCCGTCTCCTTTTGCTAGGAAGTTATGCTTGC